CATCCATCCATCCATCCATCCATCCATCCATCCATCCATCCATCCATCCATCCATTCAGTGACCTTACCAATAGACAGTAGAGTGGGCTTGACTTGGGTGACCAGTCCCGTATAGTACCACATTGTGAACCGGTTCTCCACCCTCCAGTCACTGACCAGGTCAGGGTTCAGGCTGAACACAAGACCCCACAGGCCGTTCACTTTGGTCACCCAGATTGGGTTCTTGGGAGTCTTCAGCATGGAGCCAACCTGTAAATTAGTTACAAGTCAAGATTAATTCTCTACATCACCTGCTCAGTGTAGACAGACTCTGTCCTACGTCACTTTTCAAAATTGCGTACAGCAGAGTCTTACACTGAGCGGTCCATACACAGTCGAACCTGCTCTTATGACCACCTGTATAAGACAGTCAATTGCTGTGCAAGCAACCACTTCCCAATTTTTTAAAATAATAAGTGGGGCCTGCAGACAAAAAGAGTTACTTCTCACAATCCACAAAAGCAGACATTGGGCAAAAATCGACACTGGGGTTACATTTAATTTGTAGATTTTTCTATTTATGCCCTATTCTTTAAGTATACCATGAATTTTATTATTTCATACTTATAAATTGTAAAAACTTCAGCGTGATGTATATATTTCCTTAAAGGTCGAATCTGAGAAGTAACTCATTTGTGGGCACGCTTCACATATACAATTGAACCTGTCCAAGACAATCAACCACTGTCAAGAAAAAAAAGTGATTGTCTTAAACAGTTGGTCCTCTTGAACAGTTTCATTATGAAAAAGAAAAAAACCGTAAATGCTGGAAGCGGTAGTTTGTACAGGTGATTATTTTGGACAGGTGGTCATAAGAGCCGGTTCGACTGTGTAATGACACTGATCAAGAGGACTACATGTCTACGATAATCATTTATCTCCTACAACAGGAAGCCATCTTGGAAAGGTTCAACCATGGTTCAGTTTCTCTCCAGAAGAAGTACAATGGGCTAAATGTTAAAGCAAAAGAGAAGAAAACCTGTTCTTCCTTTATTTGCTAGCCAGATGTTTGACAGAACTCAAACTTTTCCCAGTCTAAGAAAAACACATTTTCTTACAAATGTATGGGGGCAGTCACAATTCCACTAAGAAGCAAGCTCTCATTGAGTTGTTTACTAATATATTTTTAAAAATACAGGAAACAATTTTCTGCACAAAGCACATACCCAGTATCTTCCTTCTTTCTCTTAAAG